GCCATAGGTGTGTGTATCTTCCGAGGAAGGTTGCAGCTTGTTGAAATATAAACTAAAATGATATTAGAGATGGAGAGAAGGTTTTTTTTGTGTATTTCATTGAAGGGTTAAGTCCCTATAAATATACATTACAAATAGAATATTCCTATACAAGATTCTATACAATAATATCCTGAAGTATATTCCTAGAATATTCTGAAGTATATTCTAATATTCTAAAGTATATTCTATATCTTTCACACTCCCCCTCAAGTTGGAGCATAGATATTTATCATGCCCAACTTGTTACATAAATAACCAACTTGGATCCCATTTAGTGCTTTAGTGAACAAATCTCCAAGTTGTTCTCCAGTCTTCACATATCCCGAAGAGATCGGTCCTTTTTGTATCTTCTCTCGAATAAAATGAGAATCAACCTCAATATGCTTTGTTCTCTCATGAAATACTGGGTTGTTGGCAATGTGTATGGCAGCTTGATTATCACACCACAATTTAGCAGGCATTGGTGTCTTTAATCCGATTTCACTCAATAAATGGCCTATCCATATGATCTCACATGCAGATTGCGCCATAGCTCGATATTTTGATTCGGCACTCGAACGAGAAACCACACTCTGTTTCTTACTCTTCTAGGATACTAGGTTCCCTCCAACAAAGACACAATAGCCCGAGGTAGATCTACGATCATCTTTAGATCCGGCCCAATCAGCATCTGCAAAACATTCTATTCTCATGTGATCATGATTTTGATAGACAATCCTGCGTCCTAGTGCTCCTTTCAAGTAACATAATATATGTTCTACAACAGCCCAATGATCAATGGTTGGAGATGACATATATTGACTCACAATGCTCACAGAGTAAGCAATGTCTGGACGAGTGACTGTGAGATAATTAAGCTTTCCAACCAATCTTCTGTACCTTTCTAGGTCTTCGAATGGTATGCCTTCTTGAGTGAGTTGCACATTGGGAACTGTGGGGGTTGTGCTTGGCTTTGCTCCCAATTTCCCTGTTTCAGCTAGTAAATCAAGTACATATTTACGCTGAGATAGAAATATACCTTTCTTACTCCGTGTTACCTCAATACCCAAAAAGTATTTCAATGAGCCTAGGTCTTTTGTTTGGAATTGGAAAGGGCCAAAATACCTGCAGTATCACTTCCGGTAATCACAATATCATCGACATACACCACAAGCAATTGTTTAGAATATACTTCAGAATATTCTAGGAATATACTTTAGGATATTATTGTATAGAATCTTGTATAGGAATATTCTATTTGTAATGTATATTTATAGGGACTTAACCCTTCAATGAAATACACAAAAAATCCTTCTCTCCATCTCTAATATAATTTTAGTTTATATTTCAACATGGTATCAGAGCCATCCATTTCACTTTAGTTTTCGGACTTCCTTCTTTCTCCAAGTTCTTGATTTCAGTCCAGAGTTTTCAAGAATCTTGGATCTCAGTCTTTTTCCAGAACCTTTTTCCAAACCTCAGCAGAACATCCTCACTCTCAGAATCTCAGCAGAACATCCAGTCTCAGAACCTTACCCGAACATCAGAGAACACTTTAGTTCATAACCTTATTCCAACAACTGTCCCTCTGGTTCGCCTTCCGCCGTCGACCGGTGACCAGAAGTCCGCACGCCCAAATCAGCGCGCGTGAGCTACACGCGCCGTCGGAAGGCGCTGCAACCATCGCACGCTCCGGCGCGTGACGCCGTTTTTCTGGCCAAAGATTCTAACAGCGACCATCTTCAGATTTGCCGGAGTGTCATCTAGCGATATCCAGGTATACCTTGTTTCAAAATTGGAAGCTTGTTTTGCTCTTTCTACATCCAGGATCGACCGGTAGTAGTCTGGGACGGTGAATAAAGGCCTGGTGAGGTTGTACGTCGTCGCCAGGCTGTTCCAATCCTGTCGCTAGAAGGAAGGCTGGGTCTTGGCTGCATCGGATATCTGCAGACATACGCATCACTCATATCTGCGAACAACGCTCTTTGTTTTTTTTTTTGAAGAAAAACAACGCTCTTTGTTATTCTGTGGGGTTTGCATAGTTAATTCTGTCTGGAGTAGGAGTCAAAAGCCCAAACAAATCGGATATTCTACTCTCCAAAGTTTGAGTCCACAAAAGGAATTTAACTGTCGTAAGTTTCCACCTTTATCTCAATTTTGAATTTAACTACCACAAAAAAAAAGTATATTCTATATCTTTCACACAGCTGATTAACCAACTTCTGCTGCGAATCTGGGAACTCAGATGGAGATTGCAGCTGGGGTTTCCTGCTCAAGTCGAAGCCAGACTGGGAGAAGTATCTTGCGACTGAGATGGACCCTGCTTGCTTAGCAACGATGTCTGTGAACCGAGCGAAACCGTTCGCGATTGTGAACTAAAAGTAACCGTTCGCAACTGCGAACTAGGAGAGACAGTTTGCGACTCAGTCTGCCGACTGGTGAGCGACTGCGACAAACTTTTTTTGTCAGATCGCGGAGGATGCCTAGTGTTCCTCGATCGGTCTCCAGGTCGATGCTCTTGATGCGAAGGAAAATAATTGGAATTACCTTCTGATCCCTCAAAATTTCTTGCGTGTCCATGGTGCGAAATGCGATGTGACCTGCTCTTCGATCGATTCTGGATTCTCTTTTCCAGGTTTGCGAGTCTCGCCTGTATCGCAGCCATTTTCGCCGATGCCTGTTGCTGATTACTCTCCAGTCGTTCATTCTTCCTTCCATCTTTGATAGAACTCTTGCAGGTATGTAGTATTACAGAAAGATGAAGCTAATATTTCAGAAACAGCTCAAAGATTTCATTAATGGGGAAAGTAGGTACTACCATAGCCCAAAAAGAAAGAGACTAAGTATCTCTATTTTTCCCAGTCCAGACTAACTGTGTAACAGCCTACCGTTTACTCCTCCCTTTCCCTTCTATTTATACTACCTCTACACTTATTATAATTTCTTATTATTAGCCTAGTAGGCCCGATTCCTATCATAACACGAATAGTAGTGCAGTTCTGTGGCTAAGGTGGATTGGGGAAAACATTTAATGTGCGTAGATTTCATTAATGTGACATAATGAAAAGAAAATAGGGCAACACTTGAATAAATAGGAACAAAGGGAGTGTTTTCAACTTCCCATACATCATATATCTTTTTACAAAACATGCTCTTATCGCATGTCGTTATCCGTTTAGCTAATTAACTTTTACATTCTTGATCAGACACCAAAGGTTTACCCGTATGACAACCTGAGAGTGGAGCTCGGAGGAGATCCCTAGTCTATGTATCTTAAATTGCCTGTGAAGGACCTGTTCTTGTTGTGGGGGTCTAAATAAACCTGGAAATATATGTGCTTTATTGAACATCTGAAATGCCGATGAAAGTTTACTTGAAAGCAACTTATCAGTTGCCCTTGGATGATCTCTGTACTCTGCTGACTGTGTTCTTTCAAGAGTTTGTGTCACAGTTGGTATGATTAGTGAAATGTTTGTTTTATAAAAAAAATGCGGTTGATTATTATAAAGAAAAATGCGGGTGTAGTAAACCAAGCACATGTAGTTTATTAATTCGATAGAGAATTAGTAAAGTATTAGTTCATGGGTCTTGTTTAGTAGTTATCTGATTTGGATTATTAATAGGTGATTGAGGTAAACAAGACAACCCATACGATCATTTTTCATGGTTAAATTGCTCTCATTTTTTCAGGCGAGTACTTATTTTAATTGATAAAACAATCACATATATCCAAATCTTGAGCTCCAATGATATCCAAACAAGAATCATTTTCAAAAGTTATGAACTGTTTATCCTCATCATCTCATACCAAGCAGTCATGACCAAGATGATTAAAGTAGGCCTGGACTCGGGCCGGTGGCCTGAACCGGCATTGTTTCGGCCTGACCCGCGGGGGATCCGGTCTGGGCTCGGGTCCTTCAAATGGCGAACTGGACCGGCCGGTCTGGGCCGTCAACGGCTACATTTAAAAAAAAAAACTTTTTTTATAATTAGAAGGGCTCCTAGCCGTTAGGAATAATCCCAAACGGCTCTATAGCTGTTGGAGGGCTAGGAGGGGGGGGGGGGGGGTTTGGGCATCAGGTGGGGGTGGGGATAAAAAAAAACCTATTTATACTCCTATTTTCTATACATTTTTTACACCATCTTCAATTCATCATACAATCCTACTCCTACTCTCTAATTTTCTATTCTCTCATACTCGATCATCTCCATCTTCATCTTCTCCAAATCTCTCTACATATGTATATTATTTATTTAATTATTATATCAACTTATATAATACGAGTAATTATCTACTTATATACATATATTATATTACTAATATTTATTATCTACTTAATATATTTATTATCTACTTATACATCTCCATCTTATTAATATTTACTTTGATATCTACTTATTATCTATATTTATTGTTATTTACTTATATATATTAAAGTATTAGATATAAGTGTATTACTCATCTTATAGTAATATACTTATATTATATACTATAAACATTATATTATATATTAGTTACACTTGAATTCATAATAATTAAATTCATCGTATTAGTTAATTTTTAAAATTTTCATTATCCTAATTTAGTTAATTAATACTTGTCTCGTTTTTTCTATTACTTACATTTTTTTTAATTGTTACATTTTTCATTGAAGTATAAAACTAGTTAATTGTTACATTTTTCATTTCCCTATTAGTTAATTTGTTAATTGTTGCATTTATCATAAAAGTATAAAACTAGTTAATTGTTACATTTTTCATTTCCCTATTAGTTAATTTGTTAATTGTTGCATTTTTTATTAAAGTATAAAACTACTTAATTGTTACATTTTTCATTTCCCTATTAGTTAATTTGTTAATTGTTGCATTTATCATAAAAGTATAGAACTAGTTAATTGTTACTATAAAAATTAAAGTATAAAACTAGTTAATTGTTACATTTTACATTTCCCTATTAGTTAATTTGTTAATTGTTGCATTTTTCATCAAAGTATAAAACTAGTTAATTGTTACTATAAACATTAAAGTATAAAACTAGTTAATTGTTACATTTTTCATTTCCCTATTAGTTAATTTGTTAATTGTTGCATTTTTCATTAAAGTATAAAACTAGTTAATTGTTACATTTTAATAAATTACTTGTTATTTTAATAAACACACTTGTTATTTTAATAAACACACTCCAAGTATTCGAATGTCGTTACTCCTATTTTAATAAATTAAATACACTTGTTATTTTTATTAAAGTACTTGAAAATTTGCTATAATTTTATTAGTCGCATTTTATTATTACTATTGTACTCATATTAAAACATTTGATATAATATAATATTTGTGTTGGGATATACTATCCCGGCCTATTACTGTTCAGGAGCCGAAGACATTATCCAGTACGGAGCCCAAGCAGCTAGGCCCGTTTCGGCCCATTCTGGCCCACTTTAGCCATTTGGGCCCATTCCGGTCCATGCGGCCCGTTAGGGTGGAGAGCCCCCTTTCCCCCTATTTCCTATAAATATGGAGCTTAGCCTCCATGTAAAGGATCCCTTTTTCCCTTCTTCTTCTCCCTCCTTAGCTAGATTAGAACTCCATTAATGGGAGCTTCAACACTTGTACTATGTAATGGTGAGGAGAGACTAATGAGAATGAGAGGGCTTGGACATTAGCCTAAAAAGTCCCGTGGTTTTCTCCCTTTCGGGTTTCCACGTAAAAACTGAGTGTTCATACATATATTTACTATATCGTGTTGGATTAAACTCAACAATTTGTTACATTTTAAAGATGGACCGTGGTAGACATTTTGTAGATATGGGTAATCTCCAACGCAACTGAAGGAAGGAGATTGCGACAACTCATCCTAGTTTACGCAAAGGCAAAGGTAAAGGGCGGGACGAGTCTTCTTCTCAAAGTCGAGAAGATTTTGAAACGGGATACCAAAGGCGAGATGGAGATACGATGTCCGAAGAGCAACTACAACAACTATTGGAGCAAAATGATGGTCTCTTTTTCCATCAACAAAACATCCCAGAGTCCATTGACGAAGACGAGCTTGAGGATGAGGATGCGGAGGAGGACGCGGGGGCAACGGCAGTCACGACACCCCGGATGATGAGCAAGAGTTGGAGGACGAGGGTGGTTCATCCCAACTTGGTAAGAAATCTAAATTTCATATTATAGAAAATAATTTTTCAAAGAGGAAAGACAAAACAACCGAGAAATGGTACACAAGTTGCAATCATTGCAATAAGGAGTATAGTTTGGGAACTTCCGGCGGATACGGGAGCCTCAAAAGGCATCTTAAGTCCGCGCACTTGGTAGAGTATGTGAAAATATCGAAAGACAAGGGGAAGCAAACTCAAATATCGAGGTTTGCTAATGACCAACCTTTTGGTAATTTCCAATACAATGATGCACAAAATTTGACTGGTATGGCTAACTTACTTGAAGAAAATTTGCCTTATTTGTTTTCTGAAAGTCTTGCTTTTAAAGATTATGCACAAACTTGTTTAAATCCTCAATTTAGAGGTTATAGTTGCAAAACGGTTAAGAAAGAAATTATAAGGCTTTATCGTGCGAAAAAGGATAGGTTACAAATTTTTTTTGCAAACTTTGATGGCCGTGTTACTATTTGTTCTGACATTTGGGAGGATATTTATCATAATTTACATTATTTGGGTCTGACTGCACATTTTATTGATAATGATTGGAATTTGGATAAACGTGTTCTTGCTTTTCGTGAATTTAATGATCGTCACACCGCTGAACATATTTATATTTTGATTGAACGTATTTTAAATGAGTATAATTTGATTGATAAGGTGTTTGCTATAGGTTTTGATAATGCTAGTAATAATTTGTGAATTGTGTGGTTCTAATACTTTGATGGGTAGATTTTTTCATCAACGATGTGCATGCCATGTTATAAATTTATGTGTGCAAGACGGTCTAAAAGCGTTAGGAGATGCTATGGAGGTAGTCAAGGGGGGGATTAGACGTATTTGGGGTAATCGTCAACTTAAATTAAAATGGAAAAATTATTTGATTGAAAGAGGTGTGAAATATGTTGCTTTTCCTAAAGATTTGTCTATTCGCTGGAATAGTACTTATAAATTAATTAAAGTTCTTCTTAGATATAAAGAACATTTTCCTGCTTTTTTAAGACAATATGATAACTATATTTTAAACTCCGCTCATATCGACACTTGCGAAACGATTTGTAATGTTTTTATATTTTTTAATAATACAACTGAAAGTTTTAGTCATATTTATAAACCTAGCTCAAACGAATTTATTCGTGAAGTTGTTAATCTCGCCGGTGCTTTTAATGAATTTGAGAATGCCGCTTACATGAGTTATTTTTGTGGTTTTATGAAGGAAAATTTTTTAAAATATTATGCACATATTCCGCATATTTATGGTATTGCATTTATTCTCGATCCTCGTTTTAGACTTGGTAATTTGGAAGAATGTTTGAAGTTCTATTATCATGCTTTTTTGGTCCATTTCCAATGTATGACGATAACGCCATAGATCCGCAAGTTGAATACAACGAGGTTAGTAATTTATTTTATGCCTTATTTAATGAGTTTCATGCACAATATGACAACGCGCCCCCTCCCCCGACACAAACATCTTCATCTAAAGAAAAATCACTTTTTAAATTTGCTTTTGGCAATCTTATGAAAAAAACTAAAGCAACTCACACTACTGAACAAAGCGCACTTAATGAGATTTCTTTGTATATAAATTATGAGGTAGAATTTGATGAAAATGATGACTTTGACGTTCTAAAGTGGTGGAAGTCAAAAGAAAGAATGTTCCCGATTTTAGCACGGATGGCTAAGAAAGTGCTATCAATTCCGGTTTCAACAGTTGCCGTGGAACAAGAATTTAGTTCGACCGGCAACGTCCTAACGACATCTAGAACGAGCTTGAGCGCAGAATCTCTTGAGACGCTTATATGCTATCACGATTGGTTGAAGGCCATACATAGAACTCAAGAAATTAGCATCACCCCCTCCCAAGACTTTATGGATGAATCAACAACCGAGTGTTGCTCCTACGTCGGAGATTCCGATTGATTAGTATTTTACAATTTACTATAAAATGTATTTGATGTTTTAATTTTTCCCTCAATTCTCTATTGTAATTTGTAAACTTGTAGTTCATATTTCAAATAAATATACATTCATTTTTTTATATGTAGAATTTCTCAAATTAATTAATTGGTTACAACTTACAACTTATAATTAATTATATTATTATTTATTAGAAAAAGTATTTCATTTTGTATTTTTGTTCTCAATTCTCAAATGTAGTTCTTATTTCACATAAATGCCCTTGAAGTTGTATAAATAAGTAGGAAAAAAAATATACAGGCCCGACCCGACCCGGCGGGTGGCCCGGCCCGGGACCCGGGTGGGTGACCCGGCCCGAACCGGCACTGGCCTCCGTACGGGCCGGGCTCGGGCCTGCTGCCAAGGTCTCAAGGCCCGACCGGGCCCGAGTCCAGGCCTAGATTAAAGTCTTGATTTAAATTGTAATATCGTACAATTTTATGACTTTACACTAATAATTCGATTTGAATTGTAGGTAAAATTAAGAATTCAATTGTACAAAATTGTAATACAATTGTACAAAGTACAAACTCGTCAAGAGTCACATAAAATCAAAATAATTTTTTTAGTGAAATCAGTTCATATTATTAAAATTGATATATAACTCCAATAATAATAATATCAATAACGTATTTAAAGAAAGTATCAGATACTTGTGTGAATTAATTATTTTTATGTTGTATATACGTTTATTCACTTTATTTACTTGATAAAAAATAGTCCAAAAATCTTATTTGGGGTGTTTTCAAAAATATTGCTAAAATTTATTTACACAAACATGATTAATAGTTACTACAATTAGTGTCATGGTAACTTAAGTTTAAAAATTAAACACAAATTACTATGATTTCATTACTTTTCTAGTTACTAATCACATTTTTGTAAATAATTTTTATTTTAGTCATACGTAGACATGTCCCAGGTTTCTGGTTTAATCGGAACCGGCGGTTTCGGAAGCGGAACAGGTAAGATTAGGCGGTTTATAACCTGGGTTATATTAGCGGTTTGGTTTATTGGATATTTGGAACCGGATTTTTTGAATTAAAAAAAAACTAGCAGGGTTATGTGTATCCGTTTATGTTCAACGGCATTTGTGTTGACTTATTTTCAAAGGAGTAAGTGCCTGTGAGGCTGTGACATGAATTTACACACTTTTGCAGTTTTGCTTAAAAAGAAATGCTTCGAGTTATAATAGACTGAAAAACGTAACTAATGCTTTAACTCGAAAGAATTAATTTCAATGCCTTTTTAAAATTAAACTATAAAATGGTGCTTTTAAGGGAAAATATATTTATACAGCCTGTTCTCTTAATTAGTTAATTAGGCTAATTGTCTTCTATTAGCAATTTTATTTATATTTATTATTTATTATTAAAAATCACATTCTTTATTTTTATATGTAAATTGATGCAGATGAAGGGCAAAAAATACGTGAAGTTAAACATTTTTATTTTGTTTATAAGAGAGTACTCCTAATTTGTGTATAATTAAGATGATATTATTAGTTGAGTTGAATATTTTTTTCAAGCTCAAACTTATTAATAAACAAGTTATTAAAATGTGCGGTTCTGGTTCAAACCGCCAAGAAGTCTAGAACTGGACCTATAAGGTTCCGGTTGCGGTTTCATAGTTTGGCGAATTGGGAACCGCCGGTTTGGCTCCGGTTCTGGTTCAAACCGGGGACAAATCTACTCATATGTATAGTTTATGCAATGAGATGGCATAGTATTACTAACCTGTAACGATTTAAATAAGTGTTCATTTTCAAATTATTATACGAGTAATAATTTATTATTAAAAGATATCAAAGATACAAGAAAATGAATAGCTAAGGCTACAATAGGATGAGACATAGAACGAAAAAGATACAAAGAATCCTTCCAGATCGCTAACCCCGTAGTAATGTAGTCTAGTGTAACAGCCTTGTTGCTCTTCTTTCTACTCCAAAGAAAAAATATATAATTACAACTAAAAAAATCCGACTTCACCAGCCACCGGAAAGGGAGAATTGGTTTGACCAGCAACCAACAAAGGAAGATCTGGTTTCACCAGCCTCTTGAAGCTCATTGGTTATTAAAGTTGTAAGTTATTTTCTTAACTTCTTCTCTTAATTATTAATTCATTCCTTAATCTCATTTCTATATTAATGTTGGGTGTTTCTAATAAGTGACGATTAGTCAACGCTTCGACATTAATTATTACTAGAAACGATCAACGAACCAATGGTTAACCGTTGATGGTTTCACAAGTAACTTCGGTTTATTAATGCACGGTCGTGGTTAATAAACTTAAGAGGGATTAATTTTGTTGGTTAAACCGAAACCGTTGTGTTGAGGTTATCAATCTTAATTGATTTCATCAAGGAGTTAAAAAGATTAAATGCTACTATTAAATCGGTATGCGACGTTGTTCTATATTTGATTAATAGTAAGTGTCCTTAATGAACGGTCGTTGTTAACAACTGCCCTCGATGAATTGGAGATAGTCCTCGATTGAGTATTCGAGAGGGGATAAGTTATAGATATAACAAGGATCGACTAAATATATCAACAAGTGGAAAGTACGTAGCAAAGCCAAATTCTTTTTATCTTTGAACTAAATCACATATAAGTCAATCAACTTGTTTAAATTAATAAAATTCCAACAATCCTAAACCCCCCTTTTATTTACTAGTTTCATTAAAAAGAGAGTTACTCTTTTCCCCGTGGATACGAACTCTGCTTCACTATTCTACGTATAAGTGTTAGTATCGAATTTATTTTGACGCACTACGACAAAGTGATCGCCAAATTTGGCGCTGTTGCCGGGGGTTGGCAATTAATTTTTCTTTTTATTTTATTTTAAGAAAAAAAAAACCAAATATTATGTAAGTATAAAGATTTCTATTCTTCTGATTTTGTTTGAGTATATGATTAAACACCGTTCATTGAACCAAATCACCTATCAAACAAACCCCGAAATAGAACAAACTCTTGATCAGTTGAAAAACAAAATCCCAAGCTCCGACTCAGGAGAAACATCAAATGCTAGCTCTAGCGAAATCCGAAGAGTCCTTCCACATGGCTCTCGAGACGAGAACACTAGAGATTTCGCTAGTGTTCTCGTCTACTTCCACTTTCCACGGCTCGAGAGTTCGAAGAGACGAGAACATGAAGGTAATACTTTTGAGCTCAAATCGGGGCTTATTCATCTACTTCCATCTTTCCACGGCTTAAGAGGAGAGGATCCAAATAAACACCTTTCGAAGTTCCACATCGTTTGTACATGTGTCCGAATGGTGTGACCGAGGAACAAATAAAGTTGAGGGCTTTTCCATTCCCCTCTTAAAGACACCGCCAAGGATTGACTACTCTATCTTCCCTCGGGAAGCATAGGTACTTGGGCGGCCCTGAAGAAAGTCTTCCTCGAAAGGCACTATCCCGCCTCTGTCTCCTCATCTCTAAAGAAATAAATAAGCAACGTGGAGCAAAAAGAGGATGAATCGTTCTACGATTTTTGGGAACGATTCAAGAACCTTTTTGCCAGCTGTCCATACCATGGCTATTCGGAGCAAGACCTCATCCTGTACTTTTATGATGGTCTTTGCGATAATGATAGGCGGATGATCAACGTCGCGTGTGGAGGGGGAATCGTCAACAAGACCCTTTCTCAAGCTAGGAATCTTATCTCGGAGTTGGCCGAAACTTGTAGATACTATGATCGGCAGTCATCATCAAAACGAGTTATGGTGGCGGAATCCAACACCTAGTTGGAAAGTCAAGTGGCCGTCTTGACTTCTTTGGTAAAACATTTTCTCTTAAATCCAAAAACCCAAGAAGTTAAGGTCTGTGGCATATGTTCAACACAAGGGCATCCCGCCGATTTTTGCCCAACACTACAAGAGGAGAATCCTGAGCAAGTCAATACATTGGGTTTCCAAGGACAAAGGAGGTACGACACTCATGGCAATACTTACAATCTGGGATGGAGGAATCATCCAAATTTAAGGTACGAAAATCCTCAACAATCTCAACAAACAAACCCTCCTCCTCAACCATACAAACAAGGCCAAACTTCGAGCTCGAATATGTCTACCGAAGACATGGTTAAAGCACTTGCCGTTAATATGGCAACAATGCAACAAAGTGTGGTCCAATTTCAAGAAATGACCAAATTTAGCATCCACATTTTGGAGAGCCAAATGAGCCAAATCTCAAATGCCGTTAGTAGGCTTGAAGCTAAGGATTTGGGAAAACTCTCATCTCAAATGGAGCCGAATCCAAGGCGACAAGCTCATGCGGTCACTTTGAGAGGTGACAAAGAATTGGTAATGACTAAGGCAAAGCAAAAAGCCATGTTGGGGAAGAGGAGGATGATCACTTGGTGCCAAGCACAAATCCTCCAAACAAAGAGTAGAAAGAATAGGAGATCGCACCTCAAAGGAAGTTCCCACCGCTCGATTCATACGAGTCGGTGCCATCTTTTCCGGAGGCTCTCAAGGACAATCGCAAATACAACAATGACAAAGACAACTATGAGACCTTCAACAAATGCGAGGTAAATATCCCTCTTCTTAATTTAATTAAAGGTGTTCCTAGATTTGCTAAGTTTTTAAAAGAACTTTGTACAATTAAAAGGAAACACAAATCAAAAGACAAGCATAAAATCCAAGTGAGTGAAAAGGTGTCGCCCGTTTTTCAAAAGAAATTACTTAAAAAGTATAGTGACCCAGGAATGTTCATTATACCATGTAAACTAGGAAATGCTAGTTTTTCTAGGGATATGTTAGATTTGGGTGCATTAATTAATGTCATTCCATATTCTCTATAAAAGTCCCTAGAACTAAGATGTTTACATGAAACGGGGGTTGTTATCCAACTTGCCGATAGATCCAATGCTTACCGAAAAGGTGTGGTATAGTAGAGGATGTACTCGTCATGGTGGATAATTTAATCTTTCCCGCTGATTTTTACGTTCTTGAAATGGAGAACGAGAAAAATGCAGTCTCGATTTTATTAGGAAGGCCTTTTTTGAAAACAGCCAAAGCAAAAATATATGTTTTTAGTGGAGTATTAACCATGAAGTTCGATGGTGAGAAAGTTGAATTTAATATCTATGTCTACATGAAATACCCTATCAATAGTCACTCTC